CTAAATTAATAATTTAATGCATTAGCTAAAGTATTTTTTGAAAAGTTAAATATATTAAACCATCTCAGCCTTTTGAAAAATTCTCAATTGAATAGTTTTCACTAGGAAAATTGTTAAAATTTATTAACAAAAAGCTTATATATTATTAAATTATGTTGGGTAAATATACGAGATATATGTAAATTGTGTAATATTGACAAACAATTACAACGTACTGACTACAAACGATATAAATTTGAACAACTTGATGAACACCAAAACTTGAAAAGAATAGTCGAGGCACACTTCAATAGCGCTAACCTGAAGACAATTATTCACTCTGCACAAATTGCTAGCAGACTACAACGATCGTCTCAACAGGATATAACGACTAACTCCGATAGAACTACAACCTCGAACTACTCGGATCTGACAGAACTCTTAGACACTTGCTCTCAACACAAACAAGAATAACTCAAAAAAAGAGAGAATTCTTGTGAGAGAATGAGAATACTCAATTGTAGTATGTTTGGATATCTCAAAGGGAATAAATCCACAACTAAATGGAGTTGTACAAATAAGTAACCTCTCACTTAAAATTAAACACATATGTAACATTTTTACATATGTTACTTAGGTAACTTTAACACATATATTTGTAAGTTTAACAAAATAATAAGATAACTTAAAATTTAATAAAATAAAGAAACAAAACCACTATAATAATAAATAAGAATAATATTCATAATTTCTTTTAAGTTTTACTTTCTTTCACATCTTAAAAACTAACAAATTATTGTTTCACGAACATATTTGTACATATAGACATCTCACTCAGATACTACTTGATATATAAAACCCAGCTCACCTATCCTATAATCAATTTCTTCCCGAGTGTCATGTATGCGTAGGTTTCCAATACATTAAAAAAACAATAATTTAACATATTTTTGTACCGAATAATTTAATTAAAAATTTTTAATATATTGAAGTAAAATAGATTAAGGATGAAATCAAGAAAAAACTTTAAAATTAAATGGCCCTAAGTATATTTAAACTATAGCTATTTGTTTGATGTGAGATTTAGATTTGGATTCCAATGTCGAATGTTTCGAATGAACCTCTACACACAAAATGAGATATGCACATCTGTATGATCTAAGTTCAAAATACTATAATGTTTAGATCATACAATGAGTCAAGTTAAACGTAGTACAGAATAGGATTGTGAAAACGTATTTTACATCATCGATCTCTCATCTTATTTATAAAGAGCTCAGTCTCTTTGAGTTGGTTGGACCAACTCGATCGGGTCGAACTGACTCTATTTTGATCTGGTAGAGTGGTCTGATCCAGTCAATTTTATCCGAACAATTCGACAGAGTTACTTTTTTAGCTTCATTTCAAATAAATTGAGTAGATTCCACCCATAATACTACTTTTAAAAAGAGTGAGAAAGAAAAGAAAATAATACATGAAGGAATTTAAGTGGGAAGGAAGATGATATTAAAAATATTCCTCGGCCACAAAAGATGAGAATATATGATGACAAGGCCTCTGTGTGGGTCCCACCACCAGCTGGCTTCCCTGCTCCCTTCAAGAACGATGCTTTGTTTTCTTTCTTACATTCTCACATTCTCTCATCTCTTTCCCATCCCCAATTCCCCATTTTACCCTCCACTTCTCTCTCTCTCATTATGTTTGTAAAATAGTAAAATATTCTAAAACATTAACTAAAGAAAATTAGGTTAAAATACTATTTTAATCCACTTTTAAATTATTTTAATATCCGAATTTATATGTTCTGTTTGGTACCTCGGATCCCACATTGAAAAGAGGGATGATCAGGTTTATAGTAGACATGGACTACTCCTCCCGTTGTAAAATGGTTTTGAGATGAAACTCATGAATATTAATAAATTCCACGGTTTGGTAACACATGATTTGATTTCAAATCCTATTTCTACTTACAAAAATTTCCATATTAAAATGGTCCGATTTTCCAAGATTTCATAAACTTTTGAAATAAATTACATATTTAACCTCGTCATATAATTAATAAATTTAGACTAAAAGCTCAAATCAATAAAATTTTTATTTTCTTTTCATTTACGGTGAACATCCAAATAAAGAAATGTAATTTAATTCGTTTCAAATTATTCTCGTTCTAAACAAGATAACAAATTTTAAATCATTTCTTGGATTTCAAATTACAGAATTTAAAACGATTTCTTCAACTTTCCCGACGTCAAACAGATGGTTAATGTTGGTTCATTTTAATTTTTGTATTTTTAAAATAATTACTTCAATCCATGTAATTTTAAAAAGTGATAATTTTTATTCCTTAATTTTATTTATCATCTCTTTTTTTTATATATAAATTTTCAACATGACATTATACTCAATATTTTTTTATTGAAATGTAATTCTGACTTTATATTAAAAAATTTCCATTATATATAGAATTTGTGTTTAAATTTTGAAAATAGATAGCAAAATGATTTTTAAAGTACATAGACCAAAACAAACATTTTGAAAGTACATAATTTAATATGAACCAAAATCAAAAAGTATATGGACCAAAATGAGAGTATAAACACCAAAATAAACTAAAACTCAAAGTACAGATACCAAAATAGTATTTTAACAAAAAAAAATTTTATCTATAATTTCAACACTATTCATAAATACTAGTGTTTCTTCCAATGAGTTATATGTTTGAATCTATTCCTCTAGATTTTTAATGTAATGGAAAAAAATTATGACATTTGACTTAGATGTATTTCGTTTGTAAATGTATAATAAAAGAGATGACTACATAACATAATAAAAGATACTTTCTATGGGTTTTGTTTAGTAAATTTGGTTTAAATAATTGGATATTTGTTTCATGACGAAATATTTTGTAAAAATGACACAAATATAAAAATTCATACATCACTATTATACGCACACCAACTAGTAGTATACTTTATTGCATAAACATCAATAATATATTTTACCAATAATACAAAAATGGTACATCAGCAAAATATTGATTTATCACATAAATGATATATAAAAATTGGTTATCAATAATATACGATGGAAAAATAGATTTAGACTCGTTATTGTACCGATCTCTACAAAAGTCTCCTAACCAAGCCAATAAAATAGTTATAATAGACCTTTATTAGACATTTTTAACCCACAAAAATTAATTAATAACCCAAGAGATCACATCAATCAACTTTTTGTTTTGTTTTTCAA